AAATCTAAACATTAGATCAGGAGATTAGGTAGACTATATCATATATTTAAATATGTAAATCTTCTAATGTTATGTAACATTTTAAAATTAGAATGGGGTATATTTGTTATGTATTGATGCCTATTAATTTTTTGTTTTTAAAGAATGTTTTGTTTATGTGTATTTTAGATTATTGGATATCTTACTCTTAGCATAGGGTTGTATGTTCTGAAAATTAAATTTTTTTTTATCAGGCAAAAATTTATTAGACTTCTCTCACATTTGAATTTGAACTATAGGCCGTGTATATTTATTTGGTAACTTTAATATTTGCAGTCATATGACAAAATTTTTCTTTATTTAAAATTAAGTTTAAACTTTTACTTTACAACGGATTTTCTTTCCTATATTCCTATTTACAATTTTAGAGGAATTTTTTCATTTATCGTAATAATAATCCGTTTACCATCATTTAGAGTTTAGGGGCCCAATTGTATGTTTTTTAATGGGTATTGTAAAACGATTTCTGTAAATTTTCTACACTTATTTATTCACAATTTAGGAGCCAACTTAGAGTTTCTAAAATCCCACCTCATAAGTATAACGATGGGGGAAACAGAGGTATTCTCATCTCAATAGATTATTGTTCACACCTGCCATCTCCACATAATTCTGATTTACTAGGTCGCACGTGGCCACTATTATTGTTCATGATGTCTGTTTAGATAGACAGAAAATGCAAAAATTGATCTATTTTCTTTCAGTGTTTTTGTCCTTATGACGTATCTTATGTGTTGGTTTATCAAATCTGATGACACGCAGTCAAAGACAATTCCAATTACATGATCTATTTAGATAAGTATAAACAATCTATCAGTCATACCTTTGTTTTCGATGTGCTGTTAGCCAACAACATCTGTTATTTTTTATTACTTCAGATATTTACACGTGGATTTTTAATTTCTAAATTTTACACGTAATAATTTTTTACCTTATATATTTACTGTTATTGTTGATCAATTTCTTAAGAAGAAAATCTGTACATGTTTGATCCGGTAAGTTTACCTAATTGTTATCAAGAGTCGTTCTCCATTTTTTTCATTTTATTAATTTACCTACATGCCTCTTGACAATTTTTACAAATTTTTATGTTGCAGTTAAAGAAACATGTCTACACAGCTTACTCCGATTATGGAAATCAATCAGGCAACTCACAACCGGTGGACAACCCTTGTACAAATCTTAGAATGTCAGCACGTTTTGCAAACTAAAAAAGGGTCTTCTTACAAACGACTGATGTTAACAGATTCTGAAGGCTTAAAGTTCACAGCAATTATTTACAGTGAGAATTTACATTACTATGCAAGAACATTCACACAATACAGGAGGTATCGCATCTCAAATGCGTTTGTCATCCCATGTGATCCAAGATATGCAGTTAGCTTTATGAATTTTCATGGGTGCTCAATAAGCGAACGCTTGTACAAGAACATCCTGATCGCAATCCGGTGAATTTACCTTGTACTTTTGAATTCACTCCATTTACGAGGCTCCATGAACATGCTGAATCAGACCATCTTCAAAGTAAAATACCTTTTCTACTTACCTAACATATATTTTTTTTAATTATCAACTATATATATATTTGTATTATGTAGATGTCAGAGGCATCGTTGTGCGATGTTTGCCCAGTTATGAAGAAGGTTCTGACCTTGTCAGTCGGAGAGATGTGATTATCATCAACGAAGAGTATAAAATTCTTATCACACAATAATCTATTACCTATTACTTATATACATTACTTTGATTACATTACAATTTTCTTTTATAGAAAACTGCCTTTGGTGATCACTCTGTGGAACCAATTCGATGAACATGAGGGTAATATGTTGCAGTCAATGCAAGGCCCACCCCCTTTGTTCTTTGGACTGAGGCTGAAAGTCACAACTTTTAACTGTAATTTATTTACCTTTTTACTAAATATTATTTTTTTTATTATAACAATAAAACCTCATTTATTGTACTGATTACAAAAAAATGGAAACAGCCATCTCTTTAACAACGAAGCCAAATTCAGGTTTGCTTATCAATCCACCGGTTAGTGACAACTTGCAATTACGCACCTGGTATTACTTATGCTATTCATACCATATTTTTTTCTTCAAATTATTAAATAACTTCCATTTTTATTTATCTTCCTTTATACACTATTACATCTATCTGACAAAATTAGGTACAATAACAACCGCAAGGAAATAAATGACTTGCTCAAACTACCGAAGAAACTATTTCCTTCTACCATATCCAGCTGAAACAAACATATCTTCTATTCTTTCTGCAACTTCACGTTTCGACACTGTAAGCTATTTTTCGACTTTAAAAAAATTCATTTTTACAATTATGTTTCATATGTAATTTGTTTCAGCTACACTTACATTACATATAAAATAGATGAAAACTGCTTGGGTGAAAGGCACCCTGAGTCTTCCTGAACAAGAACATAACTTATCATACACTGCCTGTTCCAATTGCTTCAAGTCTATAGAAGCCGACACAACTTGGATTGTTACCTGTCCTTCTTGTCACATCGAATCAGAAATTCAACAGATGTAAGCATGAATGTTCTTTTACTCACTTCTTAAAATATTTTTTTCTTACCTATTAAATTTCCTTTAGGTCAAGGTTAACTGTTTTGATTGCCGATGAAAGTGGAGTGATGAAAGCAAATTTACACACACCTGAAGTTGAAAAGTTTATACCTTTCTCTCCAAAAGATGTGCAAATCAGTGAAGAAACTGTAAATACACATTTTATCTAACCTTGTAAAACATGTCAGGTTATAATTATATAAATTCTTTTTAACATTTGTTAATGTGTAATAGGGTGAGACTCTATGCAATTCCATTGCCATTGCAATCAACTCTGTTTATATTGTTGCTTTCGTTCGTGCATACGAAGTGCATTTTCAAGGAACAACAGACATCAAAGTGAATATTGTTAAAGCTTACAAAGTAAATGATCCTGCTGCTGTGTCAAATGAGTCTGATAACATGGTCCATAGATCAAACATCGGTGAAGGCACATCAACAACCAAAAATGTGTCTTCTGTTGCAGCCACAGTTCCTTTGCCATCGGCTGCTGAAATTGAAAAACCTGTTGAAGTTAAGAATTCAAAGCAAGTTCCTGTCACATGCTTGCTTCCAAAGAATAAGCCAGAACCAATTCTAATGACAAAACATCTTCTTCCAGAAATTCCAAGTTCCAGCTCCTCTCCATTTGAACAAAAAGTTTCTGAATCAGTCCCACCTTTAGCACTTCCTGTGAAAGAAGATGTTCCTCGGGCAAGCAATCCAAGGCCCTCTAAAAAAACAAAGTAACTGTGGTTTGTTAAAAGATGGTAACTATCCTCTACATATCTTTTGCGAATAGAATATAGAGGTCTATTCGGTATGTAAATAGTATCTTTTGCGAATAGATTCGGTTATTCGGTATGTAAATACTATGTAACTGCAGTTGACAGCCATCTTTGTATGGTTTCTTTTGGCGTATAGATCATTAAAATCTACTGTATATACACTTTCAAGTTTTCCATATAGTATCTACTGTACATATACTTTCAAGTTTTTATATGAAAAATGGAACTACAGTCTACTTTTTATTATGAAATTTGCATACTTGAATTACTACTTTATAGTTACTTTACTTTTATTATGAAGTTTTCTTATAGTACAGTCTACTTTTATTATGAAATGTGAATACTTAAATTAGTACTTTATAATTAGTCTACTTTTATTATCAAGTTTGCTTACTTAACTCACTACTTTATAACCATCTTTCTTTGCAACACAATCTTTACAAAAATAACTCTGATGTAACCTTCGTTCCATTATCTATAATTTCATTTGAATTATTATATTATGATTAAAAAATTCACAAAGATAATATACCACAACATTGTCGAATGAAACAAATAAGAGATTGCAAACCTGATCGGTCAAATTTCAAAAACTCTTGGACTACAACTTTCCACCATATCTGTCAGCTGCTTTAAGTTCTCATTTCACTTCTTCTTAAAAGCAATAACCTATATGAATGAAAATAAATTTAATAAATAAAGAATAAAATCAAATACCCATTTAACAAATTTATGGATAAAACTCACTTCGGTTGTCCATTTGACAAAGATATCATTTTGGTAGCCCATTTGAAAAAGATACAGTAGGATTATTATATTATTAAAATTGTTAATATGATTCATATCCATATCCCTTATGAGCATGCTAAAAAGTATTGGAGTGGCTACAGGCCAAAAATTGTTCAAATCAGAGTTCATGCCAATGCCAATTCCATTGTCATTACCAACACCACACAAAGTCGTGTAACTCCAATTGCAGGTGCGTACCACAACATGCTTCGTGATTTTGTATTTCCAATGTACTTCAATTATATCTTTTTTCTCTTTAAAAGACTATACTTTTAAAGTACAATGCTATATTGCCAATATTTCTAGCAAGGGTATGCTTTGTGATTTTGTATTTCTATATGGGACAAATGGCAGTGTACTTAAATTATATCTTTTCTTTCCTTACAACATTGTACTTTTAAAGTACAATGCTATATTCCCTATATTTTCATCAAGAGTATAAGTGTTGCACATTCTCTTAACACCATGGAATGAAATGCACAAGTTTCAGTAAACACATTATATTTTTACATTTTTACCATTTCTAAAAGAATAAACATTCAACTTAAACTTCTTATAATGACTACACACTTATATAGATATTATCTTTTTACATTGTACTATTTTGGTTTACCATTTCGCTTAACTGTGATAAAACTTTGCTCCGGAATCGATTCTATAGGGCCGTGATTATCACGGCCCTCATCAGGTTCCTAGTATATATATATATATATATATATATATATATTAAAGGTTTATGCTTTGGTCCACGTCGATGAGCTGCTTCCTTTCCTAATATATATAATCTAGAGCCGGTCATTTTTACCGGTATATGGTGGTGAGCCGGTCATTCCTAACTTAAGTTGCATCACCTGCTATCTCACACCGCCTCAATTAGCCACCTTGCTGTTTTTCTACTTTCCTGTGTTTCCCCCAATCTGCGGGCCAGCTCTTGCTTGGTTTCAGGCGCCATTTGAAAACGTGTTGCTTCATGAGTATGCTCTAGATTACATTATTTTTCCTCCATACGACACCTCTACTGAAATTTTCAGTTCTCTTAACCCTATCCTCTATTTTACTAATCTATACTCTCGCCTCTGGGTCTCTTCTTCTTCACGCCTCTATCATGGCTTTCAATTTCGGTTTCAGATGATGTCATACCTCATTCTACCAATAAGAACCCTTCTTATCGGTTGATTTGTGACGAAGATGTTGGTCCGGGACAACTGGCGTGTCCCATTTTATCCAAGAACACGATGGTCTATGACCTCAGTTGCTAAGGTTTAACCAAATTTCCTGAAATTTCTCTTAGCGAAGGCACGTCTGTATTTCTATGTTATTTTGTCATGGTTTTGGATGGAGTCCAGGGCAGCTAACATCGTATTTTGCCTCTTTATACCTAGGCGACACAGGAGACGTCCGGTTTGCTTTCATGTTTATACTTTAAAGTTCTCCTTTGGTAGACCTAAACTCGATTCCCTTTTTCTTCTCTGTTTCACTCCATCTCCTTTTTTTCTCCATTAAGGTAGATTATAATTCTTTTTATTTGACAGCTTTTGCAGGTTAGGTCGGCATGAGTCGTGAACCAAGCAGACAGATTGCACAGCTCCAATTGTGTATTTGAGTCCTAACATGTTCAATTCTTTTGCTAACGGTGTTTTCCTTTCCTTTTTTTTTTTTTTTCTGATTGGCAGTTTTTTAAAAGATCTTATATGTTATATTAATCCTTCATCATGTGAGAACTTCCAACTAAGTAATTGGGGGTTTTAAAGGGAAAACAAAGACTTTTCTTTACATGAAAAGAGTCCAGTTACTGCCAATTTCCAATGGTGATCGGTCTATATTTATTTCTTAATTATTCATAGTTATTATTTCTTAACCTTTCGTATTATTATGAGGATGGATATGAGATTATATGTTCATGTCGGAGTTGGCGCTTATGCTTGTGCAGAATGGAACTTTGAGTACTATTTCAAGAACTTTATATGCGCCAAGAACTGGTTTAATAACAGATATCGCTCTTTTTAAGGTCGGTTTCCAAATCTTCTTTTCAAGGTCGGTTTCCAAATCTTTCATAATTCATGCAATTCAATTCTATTTTTTCCCAATTATCTTTGTTAAAAGTGTGAGATTATGGAATCATACATTAAATGTTTTAGTGAATTAGGAATACAAATGATCCTCTGTGGTTTCCTGCTTCTACTTGCTTCCAGTTGTTGCTAGGTCTTGTTGTTGTGATTTTTCGAGTGGTAATGATTTGTTGTCCTCTTTCAGCAATTTATATGACTTCAAGGCTACTTTGTCACTTGATATGTTGAATATTTATTCTCCAACTCAATGTGTGTTATGTAAATATGAATATATCACCTCCCAAATTGATCACAAAAGGTACATACTTTCATTTGATTTCTATTATTAGGAAAATAATTTCAACAACTTCTTTGTGGTCTATAGTTTCATGATAATTTTTTTTAGAAGAATCGTGGTTGGTAGGTGTATAACTTTATTAAAAATTAAAAATCGATTGTTTTTTTTGTTGGATTTAATATTGAATTATATATTTCATAACCCTATTTAATTTTATTTATAGGACCATTTGCATACTTAGACTGAGAGATCTTTTATCTATTACATCTTTGGGAAGATCTCAAGAACCTATAAACACCGATCAAGGGATAAACTGGCTTTATTCCTCTTACCATAAAAATTAAAGAGAGTAATGATAAAATATAAATTCAATTATAATGCTAATTTTTACAAGTGTACTGTTAATTAAATAATTTGATTGTTACTTGAGGCTTTAGTTCCACCTAAAGTATTGTTTGAAGCATCATCTACGACTAATTATCTTATTAATTGACAACTTTCTCAAACTCTAAAACTTAATTCTGCTAATTTATGTCTTTATCATGGAGATACTAACATCATATGTAAAATCTATAATTGTGTTTGTTTTGTTGGCTTGCCTCACATGAACATTATATGCTTTCTGTTTAATTTGTTAAATATGCATTTATATGGTGCACACTAATAACAGATTGTCCCATATAGCACCATATGTGATGACTCATGACAATACACCCAGTTCCTGACACTTTATCACTGTTGTTTTTCATTTTTCACTATTTTTTTTAAAGTGGTCTTTGCTAATTTAGTAATTTAACGTGTTCTTTATGGGAAATTCAAGAATAATTCTATTTTCCTATCACATCACATATTCTCTTTCATAAAGTTTTGCATTTATTTGAGTTTTTGAATATCTATATGATTTTTATTTGGGTTTTTTTGGAATATTTAGGAGTTACTTGATTACTAAAGTAAAATTTACTTTATTACAAATATGCCCTCAATTTGGGGGTCACTTTTGTACATCTTCTTTTTGAGGCAGTTAATTTCAGTCCTAAGTTCTGTAAGTGTTAACATTGTTTTCTTTACAACTGCAGTTTGGAGACCAGTGTTGTATTTTAGGACAAATAAATGATTATACCTCAATTTGGTTGTGTACTCTTTTTTGAACTTCAACATGTAATTGTAATTCTTAATAACAGTTTAATTCTTAATAACAGTTATCAGTAGGCTAAAGGTGAAACAATGATTGTTTGGTCGGTTGTGAGATACTTATAGCTTATGTTTGTGTCTATGTTGTTCTTTTTGGGATAAAATATATTCTTTGATATCGTGTTTTCCTCAAACCAATTAAAATTAGCTTACTAATCTACTCTTTAGGGCCGTGATTATCACGGCCATCATTATGTTTCCTAGTATATATAATATATATATATATATATATATATATATATAGATATATATATATATATATATATATATATATAGGCGAGGATGGGTAGTGGTGTTGTAGTGGCCGACAACAAAAAGGGAAAGGGAAAAAGAAAGGGTATGGGTGGTGGTCTATTAATAATTTTCTTTATATAATAGTAGCATAAATAATAAAACATAAAAGGAATGACCAACAATGGAGTTTGTACAGGTGTTACAGGTAGCAGACGATGGGGTGATCAGAGGTAGAGATGCACAAAGACCCGATCCGGATCCGGATCCGGATCCGATCCGGTTTGATGATGTCACAAAGAATCCAAATTCGCCCTTAATCCGAACCGGTTTTAAACCACCGGTTTTCCGAGCCCCGAATCGGTTTAATCCGATCCGGACCCGATCCGATCCGAAATCTGATCCGATTTTGCATTTTTTTTAAATAAACATTTTTTGGACCTCATATATAACACAAAATGCAACATAGGTTCATTAAAATAGTTAAAACATACATCAAACGTCGAATTGGAAAGACTTTTTAAACTAGTTAACTAATAATAATAATAATAGAGCAGCGTTATAACATTTAGCCAAATATAAATTGTTTTTGTGGTCTTCCACTTCGTGTCGCCTTCATTTAATTATTCTTCAACCGCCACGCAAATAACTAGGAGTCTCATCAATACCATATTCTTCATCTTCGGCTTCAGCGTCATCGTCTTTGTCTTCCGGAGGTGTTGATAAGCCTTGTGCATATTCTTCATCCATGATCTCCGGTTCAACATTTTGTGGTAGTGGGCGTTCTAGTGATGCCAAGTGTTGTATACGTTCCACAGAATCCAAGTAATCCTTCAAGCAAACGCAAACTTCTACCGCAACCGGGGTAAGATTCGTCCTCAACTTTGATAATACTCGACCACTAAAAAACTAAATTAAAAAAAACTATGTTAAACAAAAAAATCGGGTCATATCAACTTACAAAAACAATACTTTAAAAACTTTCTTTAACACTCAATTAATCAAATGAAGTAAAGAACTAAATTAAAACAATAGATAAGAAGTACTTCCACTAGAATTCTAATCCCAAAGTTTCTATGTTTGATTTATTAGAAGTGCAATGGATTAATGAGTTGATTACCAAATTGTAATATGACTAGTTATCTTGGTCGAATTTTCTAGTACTAATAATTAATGAACAACTAACATAAAGATCATGCAATTAGTGAACACATAATTAATTAAATTTATTCAAACTATGAATGATATCATCTAGCGATTTCTTATCAATGGCCATGACAATTAATCAAGCACATAGCATGGATATCTAATGCTTCTCTAACACAGTCAAAGTCAACAGTTAATATTATCTAACCCTAGAATTTGATCAATCTCTAGTCCTAACAGTTTAATGGTCATAAATTAATTAAGATTCAATTTAATGTAATTAGATTGGTCCTCTTAACTACATGTAACTCAACAATAGGCAATAAAAGTCATAACTTTAATGTGAAAGGTAAAACGATCAATCGAACACGAGTATTAACCAAACTCAAATAATCCTACTAACAAAATCAAAACATATTAACGAGGGTTCATCTACATTTAGCAAAATTAATTAGTAAACTAAAGCAGAAAAACATCAACAAAAGATTGCGAGACACATATTAACGAGGGTTCATCTTGATGCAAATAGCGCTTGAATGTTCAAATATTTGCTCAAATCTACTATCTAACTTCAAAATCAACCCTAAAGGGTTTCTGGACATAAAAAACGAAGTAAAAGTCGCAACTTAACCTGCCAAACGATGCACCATGATTAGAGTTGAGAATCGCGTTTTATTTATTTATTTTTATCGTTTTTGCGACACCACAGTGTGGTGATCTGGTTTCCTTATTGCACAAGAGCACATAGACCAACCCATACATTTTCAATTTTTTTTTTTAGTTTTGCTGAAGGGGTGCGGAGCACCTTTTAAAGAGGCACGACACGTCTTTCACTGATTTTCCGATTTTCTTCATTTTTCGTTCGTTTCAGCTCCGTTTGCTTCATTTTGCATCCTAACTTCAATTTTAACCGTAATTTAATATTTCAAAGTATATTAAGTATCATATATTTTAAAATATAACATTTTAATCAAATATATTAAGATAATGAACTAAAATATATATATTTAAATAAGACCATATCAGAACCATATGGTGATTTAGAAATACAACCTTTGGAGCCTTTGATCCTAATTCAAATTAAGGAGTTGAAGTAGATGTAAAGAACAAGGAGATTAATTTTCTATACATCTATCCACCACCAAGAGTGTAACACCGTAATTTTTCAACAGATTTTTCATTTTAAAATCGTATACTTTTCATAACGTATTGTATAGAAATCTCGTTTATTCAAATTACAAAACACAACTCCACTAATAATCCAGGATCCTCAAAACATAACTCTTTCTGTGGTGTGTACAATCAAGCCGCTGCCGTCCCGCGATCTTGAGAAACCTGAAACACATAGCACATAACACGGTAAGCACAAAGCTTAGTGAGTTCCCCAAAATACCACATATAACACATATTAGCCACTCGAGGCTATAACTCTGTGGGCCCACTGGCCCTAACTCTGTGGACCCTCTGGTCCTAACTCTGTGGACCTTTCGGTCCTAACTCTGGAATACACACAACATAAATCACATAGAAATAATGTAGTGCAACACATCACATACATAGTATACAAGATACTCTGTCACATAACTCTACTTACCACTCAAGGTAAAGTATAGTGAGAAGACTCACCTGACAAGCAGCAAGCAAAGACCTGCTCCCGAATCTCGAACTAGCATCCGCCTAACACAAGGAATGAATATCTCTAAGTGATACTCTAATCACAACTCTAATGACCGAAGGCTATTCTTCCTCTCTTTAACTCTTTGAAGTGGATAAAAGACCATTTTACCCCTCCATGGTCTCTACCACTCATGTTGACCAAAGCCCCAAAGTCAACA